CCCCAAAACCCCAAAACCCCAAAACCCCAAAACCCCATTCCTTCAAATTAATATTGGATTTTAAAATTTGCTTCAACATGAAGAGCCCAAAACACCACAAACTATCCGACCTACCGAAAGAAGACACAGGTAATTCTACTCCCCCACCTTCTCCTTCCCAACCCTCCCTTCAATCCCCTTAATCTCCTACCCAAACTCTCTCTTCCAACCCTCCATTCTCCCTCCCCTCCTTATGCTTCCACTGTCACCCTGTTGCCTAAAACCAAGTTCCCTCCCCTTCCATTCCCAGGCTAGCTGTATTCTTCTAAAAATCCATCCGTGCTCTGTGCAAGAACCGGTCAGAATTTGTAGAAAATACTTGCAGGGGTGAAGAAATTTCAGATTTTTCCGATTTTTCCGATTTTTTGTTCGGTACGAAATTGGAAATTTAGGGAGAAAAGTGGATCTGTGGAGGTGGAAATGAGGGTGGGAGGGGAGGAGAATTTTAGAGGGTGTAAAGGAATTGGGCTAATTTTGGTATAGGGGATGAAGAAGATACTGTTGAGTAAGTGGGGGTGGAATAGAGACATGGAATTTGAGAGTGGCAAAGCAGTTTGTGGAAGATTTTGTGCTGAAGAGAGAGAAAATTAAAATTTAATGCAGTTCTTTATCTTTTAGATTTTGTGTTATTTATAACAATAAAAATATCGATTCTTTCGCTCACAGAGTAGCTTCAGATTTCCTTTTTAACTTAATTCAGAGATGATATCAAAAGCTTTAATGTAAATAATCATAAAATTTGATTAAAAATAAATGAATCCAGAACATTCTTCTAACATTCTAAACATCAATAAAAGACTAGTCTAGTCTCTTATCCCTCATTTCAAACCCTGAACTATTCATAGACTTTCATCTCAGCCACCTTCACAATATTTCTCAAGTAACACCTCATCCCTAATCAGCCACCCAGCGGTCAGACGTTTTGTGAAAATAATCTTGCCAAATTTCCTGTTCGCTCTCCTGTTGTTCAAGTGAACCCAGTACTACATCAGATCAAACGAAGGTTTTTACTGTGAATTCAAAGACCACGTTAATGAATGAGCTTACCAATTGACTCTTGTGATACCTGGCTGGATCAGAAACCTAACGAAATCAATTATTATCTTCATCATTATGTACTTCTTAGTTCTCTGTAAAGCCGTTCACAAAATATGGTGGATCCCACTTCTATTCTTTCTAGTATTTGTTATTATATGCTATAAAGGAGGAATGAGAACACAGAACCACGGAGCAATAAACAGAGCAGCCTTCATAGCCTCCTCATTTATGGTGATTGGATTTTACCACTTCATCCGACTCTGAATAAGAATATGGAAGAAATCTAAACTAGCCATTCTTGTTCCAGGTGTTTGTGTGGTCACCTTCTCAATCCTGTTTATCTACTTCAGAGTTATCAAAAGTTGCGATGGATGGGAGGATACTTTAGGAGGACATAAACTGATAAACTATGGAAAAGGATGAGATATCCCAGTCCCAAACTATTGCTCATTGACTACTAGAAGTGGCCTACTTGATTTAGCATCATGGACCTCAAAATGAGAGTCAACAGACATGAAGTTTGATTTTAATTATCTTCCAGAAGAACTCCAACAAAGGGACATCAAAAGGATAGGATTTCCAAGAATAGAGCATGAATCTAACTTTACAACATTGCTCCTCCAATCTTATTTTAGAGAGTATGTCAAGAGCCATTTGATAGACATGGATGATCCACAAATCGATCAAGAAATTAAAAATAATATTGAATTCGTCATCGATGTTTCTGATAAACACAACCACAAACTTGAATTCTCCTTAAAGCCTAACTCTACTCGAGCTGAGGAACAAAAAGAACTAAGAGAGCAGATCATTGAAAGGGAGAAAGCTGATGGAACTTATAAGAACAGAATTGATAAAAATATCTTAATCTTGTACATAGACAATGTCTCTAGAGCTCATTTTGCTAGGAAGATGCCAAAGACAGTCGAATGGATAGCCCAGTTTGTTGATAATCAAGAGAGTCCGTATACTACTTATCAATTCCCTAAATTTCATTCTTCCTATTATGCCACAAATCCAACGTGGGCAGGTCTCTTCTTCGGACAGGACAAGGCTGTTGATAAAGGAGGGATGAGCATTTATAATTATTATGCCAAAAACGGATATATTACAGGACATGCCACGGAAATGTGAGATTATACTGAAGCAGGTCTGAATTCACCATATATAAAGGGGATGAATAGATGGGATCACCTCGCAACTCCAATAACTTGCGACCCAAACTATGATGTGGTTGAAGATGGGTCACTTAATTGGTTCAAAGGTCCCCAATCAGCCATCAGACATTGTTTCTATAGAAGAGATATGGCAGAAATTCAAATTGACTATCTCAAGCAATTTTGGGAAGCTTATCCAGATAACAGAAAAATTTTCCAAACCAATTGGAATGTTGCTCATGAAGGAACTGGAGAATTAGTTGGACATTATGATGATTTAATGGTGGAAACTCTACAATACTTTCATTCCAAAAATCACCTAGATGACACAATGATAATTTTAATGTCAGATCATGGCGCTCATGAAATCACAGTTCATTTACCTTTTATCCCAGATGACAGTAGAGAAACTGAGCATTACAATCCCTTCTTGTTTCATCTATCAAAAGATGACATTCCAGTTTCTAGCATACACTACCTTACTCTAAACGAGAACAGGTTCATCAGCTCATACGACTTCTACGCAACTTTCAGATCAATAGCCACCAACAGCAAGACAGACCCTGACGATATCCCTTGGCACAATTACCATATGGAAGAAGTACCAGAAGACTACTCTTGAAAAGGAAGTCACTCCTTTTCACAGTGAGTGTGAGTTTAGGAGAGTAATGGAATTTATCAGGTTTAAAGGAGGGGTTTTGGGGTTTTGGGGTTTTGGGGTTTTGGGGTTTTGGGG